ACTGAAGAATAAAGAAGTGGTGTAATATTGCCTATCAACCAAAATAATTACTTTAAAGACTCTAATTTTCTCCTCTTCGCATGCTGTTTACTCTGATGCTTCTTGCAACATCCATAATTTATTTGAATGAACCTGTTTCTTATTAATGAAAACATCTGTTATAGACCAGAGAATAGGAAGTGTTTGTAACCTTTACCCTTAAAATAAGCCAAAAGGAGAGCTTAAGTTTAAGACCCTTTGGGAGTTTCTTAAATTTTATGATTTCTTATACCCTAGCATGAGTGCAAATGAGAAAAAGCTCTGGCTTAGTATTAAGTCATTTCATGTCATATTTTGACATGCCTGTCTTTTTCAAAATAAAATGCTTTGACACGCTGATATTGCTCGTATTTGCTTTTACCTCAAGTTTCAACTGATTGTAATCACAGAAGTTACTTACCAGAAGCTGAAGGGTTGTTCCCTGCTTAGTTACAGACCCCTTACAGTTAAGCAGCAGTTGAGGACTCAATATTTCCTTAGGTATTTTGTTGGATATTGATGGCTAAGGTAAATGAAATACTGGAATTGCGACTGTCTGGTTTTTTTGTGTCACAGAATTGGGAGTATTTTAGGTGGTGGAAGAGGTTGGATGTTCTAAATATTTGTTAGTTTGATCTTGAGGTAACGGGTGAAATGGACATATTGGGAAGACGGGCTCTTTCTGGTTGCTCACCCTAACCTGGTAACAGTAACTGGACAAACGTATGAGGGAGTTTAGTCCTGTGCAGAAGTCGTGATTTCGTGTGAAACCTCTGCTTTTATGGGTTAGAATCAGAAGGTGTAAAGGTAATGGCTTTCATTATCAATGTTATTTTATGAATACAAATGGACAAAAGGTTGTCTTGCCGAAGAACTTGTCTTCTGAAGTCTGAAAACAAATCTGGCTTCTTGCCTTTCTTTTAATCTAAACTATTTGAATTCATTGTATATATGGAATATGAAATGTTTGTATCATGTCTATATATGCACATAGTCATTGTTTTGTTTACAAAGAAATCCTAATTAACAAAACAAAAATAACTCTTACTATCAACATCCAGTGCATGAGAGCCCTGACTGAGATTTTCTGCTCCTGCTCAGCTAGTTGAGATGCTGGGTGCAACCCTTAAACTCAACAAAGCAAAAGGATTTTGGATCCGGAAGACTGGCAGTGTTGCTGCTTACTACTAGCAGCTTCTCTGCCATGCAGTAATAGTTTATTGGATGCGTTTCATGCATTTTATTGACAGAACTTTCTTTCTGTTATTCCCCCATGCAGGAAATGGCTAATTTTAACATCATATTTTGGTGCTCGCTCCACGTTGTAACTAACGCTGGGATATCTTGCACTTTAAAAAAAAAAAAAAAACAACCACCACCAAAAAAACCCCAAGCCTGAAGGCAGTGGAGAAAAGGGGACAATGTTGAGAAGAAAAAGAAAATGTATTTTCTGACAAATGGAGAAAGTTTATTTCCAGTAAACCTGTGTACCAGTTGAAATTTCTGTAAAAAGTTAAAGTTGCATTTCATTAGCTAGGAAAGGGGAACGTGGATTCGATGGATTTGTGGTCAGTCATTGTGCATTTTGGCACGGATTTTGCTAGCATAGGGAAACTCTCAGTAAAAATGAAGGAAAAAATTAATTTTGCATGCATCTCTAGTTAAGTAGAAACTTCTGGAAATGATGAATGTCTTGCCAACTCTTGTTCTGTTTTTCCCTTGTTGAGACTATTAGGAGAGGTCATTGTTCTGTCAACAGAACTACATTCTGATTTTAATCAGAATAAAGCCTCCCTTCAAAACATGCCAGGGTCTTGCCTGTATTTTGTTTGTATTTTTGTTTTGGTTTATTTGTTAAGCAGTTAAGGCTTAACTGGATTTATTCAGACATAGCTCTCCTGTAATTGTTGCCAGCTTTTATTGTTCTTGGGGGGAGATCAAGGTGATCTGCAAGTTATTTGTGTTAACAAGATTTCTGGTTAACAGAAGCCAAATGCCATCCACAGATACGCAGAAGAAATATAATACAGCTCATCCAGTATGTCATTAGGTATGTATTTGTACCAGGTAAATACTGGACCAGAAATCGTAAAGCAGTATTTCAGAAATCTGTTGCTAATTTAGGTCAAATTTATTATATAAACTATGTTACTGAATGGGTCCTGTATTGCTGTTGACACCACATTACTAAGGCAAATGTTAATAATTTGCTGTAGTATAAGTAAGTAGTACAACTTCAGTTAGTACGTCTCGGGCGCTTGAGATCAGCAGTCTCAATACTTTCCTCAAGTATTCTTGTCTGCGGTGAAAAAGTGGTTAAAAAGGGGGGACGGGAGAGGTTCTCAGGTTCCGCACACCTGAGCAGGCTAAGGCTTCTTTGAAAGTTAATTGATTTGCAGTCTGAATAAAAGTTAGTTCTGAACACGAGGTCCTGGATTCGTGAAGGCAAAGAGCATTTAACTGCCATGGTGGATTTTGCTGCTGTGTGACAGCTCTGAGCTGTTTCACTAGTAAGCTTGTTGGGAAATGCTGTCACTGAATGACCATTTTTGACAGCCTTTTATGCTCTCTTTGAAGTTGGAGAATTTATCAATAGTTTGCAAAAGTGAATAGTTTTTCAGGAAAAAACAAACAAACACCTTGGTCAATGTGCTCTTAAACTTGCAGCTTTGGGAGACGTAGTGTAGCACTAGTACTTACCATACTATCATTAAAGGACTGTCAGGACTTTTATGATATAGACCGTTTTGTAAAAATGTTTTACGTGTCTCTGTAAATGCCTTTTGTGGATCACACTGAGCTAGTGCAGCCTGAGTAAAGTATTTGCAGCCATCTAGCAAAAAAATCAAATACACTAGCTGAGAATTTTTAACTTGCTGAATTTTAATATATTTCATAGTAACAATTACTGTTCTGTAACTCTACGCTTTCTTTTTTTAATGCATTTTATAGATTGCTCATGGTGTATAATATTGAGAGTAACCATTATTTTTGCTCTGCTCCTTGAAGATGGAGTTGCTCCCACTTCTGATACATGCACGCAACACAGCTTTACTTCTGTACACTGCCTTGGATGCAAGATCACTTAAAACACTTACAGTCGTTATAGCCACCTCATATTTGCAGGCAACGTGTGAGATTTTAATTTATTTTCTGTACTGGTTATTTATAGACTGGTGGTTTCCAAAACATCTCCAGCTGTGAGCTCCCCTTCTGACAGGACTGTGGCCTCAGTAGAGGGGTGAAGAGTTGGGTATCTTCTGGGGTGATGGCTCCAGTTACAATTGCTGTGGCTGGTGCAGGATCCCAAGTGCTTGAAGCTTTCTTGATTGCACAAACACACTAATAATATCCAGGAGCCCGACTTGGGTGAAACTTTGTTGATAACTAGTGAGGCCTGAGTAGGACATGTTCCTGGGTCCAGTAACTCATCCCTGACAAAAAGCATCGCACCAGTTTTTCAGAGCTGTGTTGGGGAGGTGGATGATTTCCTGTATGCTGCCTCCTTCGTCCTCCTCCCTGGCTTTGAACTTGTTCATCTCCAAGCTGGACTTCTGGCTGACTCTTCCACAGCAGAAGTTACAGATTAATTTCTCTGGCAAATCACTTAAATCCTAAATCAGCGTTTAGGGACTGCTTGACTGTAGTGCTTCTGAATCCCAGTGAGTCATGTTGGCGACCTGTGTTTCTAACACATCATCATCTGCAAATATTTATGGACTGCTCTGTTTTCCTCTTTGTCATGACATAATAATGAGCAACCGTTATTGATTTATGTATGTGTTTGCGTAATGAATAAATTCTGCCTTTGTATGTCATTTTTTAAAAAGATGTGTTTAGGAATCCCAAGAGGTGGTGCACTTCATCTTCAACTGTCTCTTTACAAGGAAGAGGTGCCTTTGCATTGCGAGAGTAACTGGACGTTAAGCAAACCAAAATCCACTTGGCCGGGAGGGGTGTTCCCCAGGGGCATCCAGTGGCAGAGCTGTGCCGGACTGAAATCCAGTAGCGTAGCTGGTAGGAACTGAGACTAATGCTGTAGTTATCAGGTATCAGGACCGTGGGTTTGGGAAAGCCCTCGAGGGAGGATTTGCACTTAAAAAGGAAGAGAGTATTTCTCCTCAAACCTGAATCTGGTTTGGAGGCAAGGTAAGCCTGAGGATGGCATCTATCAAAGACGTAGAGTTTGGACTGTCGGGGCAGTTTGGAGACTTAGCGTGACTTGGCGCTTGCTGACCAAAAAGAAAACAAAAGGAAAACTTTTAAGCCAAATAATTTGTCTATAGCTTTAACGTATTTACTTCCCATATCTAACTCTATGGTCATAGATCAATGAGCAACTTTTAATACCAGTGTTGGAGTAAGTGAAGGAAGAGGAAGGAGGAAAAAAAACCAGACACCCCCACACACACACACCAAACCCCCATCAAACAAGTGATGCAAATCCCTCACCAGCTCCTCCATACTAACCTGGAACCACAGCTGTCTATGCGAGCTTCACCAAATCTGTTACAGGTGGAATTTTATAAAACAGCAGTGAGAGAAGTATTGTTTTTAGGGAAGAGTAACATTTCCTTATGTTTGTATTACATGCCTTAGTTCTTCCCTCATCGGATGTTTGCTCCATTATGCTTTTGTACGTGCTCTGTGTGAACTATTTTTAAAATGATGCTATGTGCTGTATACTGATACACACAGTAGTAAGCTTTGGATGCTCTTGAACAGCTGTGGAAACAAGAACTTTGTGTAGTTCTGAGATTGTTTGTTGTTCTTCAACAACAAATAACTTTTAAGATACTTTAAATCTGAAATAAAAAGTTGAACGCTACTCTAACTTCGTGTTGTATGAGATACACAAATGATCAGAATGATACCACTGCTGGCAGTGTTTTGGGGTTATTTGTTACGCTCAGGTTTCTTGCATAACATCGGATGATTAGATTGAGCAAGTGGGATGACGTATGAAATCTTGGTTTTGATAGATTTCCAGAAGAAGCAGCCAGACGATGACTCTACTCCCAGCACAAGCAACAGCCAGTCAGATTTGTTCTCTGGAGAAACGAACAGTGACAACAGCAATACCTCTCTAACCACGCAGGCCGCTAACTCCAACCAGCAACTTTTGACAGAACTGAATGTAACTTCACCGAGCAAAGAGGAATGTAAGTGCACAAGTCCTAAGTGACAGCAAAGGAGGCATAAACATTTTGTTTTCCTCTCAGTCTTATGTTTTACTCGCTCCCTTTGGGAGTAAATGACCTGTCTTTTGGGGCAAAGGGAAAGGTTGTAAGTTATTCACAAAATAGACATTGATGGCTTTTACTGAAGAACAAGTTAAAAGGGGTCGCAGGAGTTTCTAACTAACTTTACAGCTGTTTGAACTGCAGTATACGGAGGCATAAACATTTTGTTTTCCTCTCAGTCTTATGTTTTACTCGCTCCCTTTGGGAGTAAATGACCTGTCTTTTGGGGCAAAGGGAAAGGTTGTAAGTTATTCACAAAATAGACATTGATGGCTTTTACTGAAGAACAAGTTAAAAGGGGTCGCAGGAGTTTCTAACTAACTTTACAGCTGTTTGATCTGCAGTATACAATTTAATTACAAGTTTTGAGGCGCTCTCATTTTGAGAAACTTTTTCTCGCATTGCTGGTAAATTAATATGTATATTCTAGGATAAACACCGATGTCTTGTAAATTTTTACTTTAAAACCTTCTGTTTTTTAATAATTGCAATTGCACATAGCACTGACTGTAATGCATGTTTGTCTAGACTGCTGCTAGATTACTTGCAAAAAACTTAAGTTTCATGTGGTAATCAATCTCTTCTTTCATGACCCATCTTTCTTCTTTATTGAACTTGGTAAGGCAAAAATTCTCCCTGAAGGTAAGCTAAGATGTTAAAGATTAGCAAACACAGTGAGATAAAGTTGTCTTTTAAGTTATTCTAAACCTCTCTATATATTCTGTGTGTAATAGATGGAGTTTTAAAATCTGCCTTCTACAACTTAAGCTCAACTGTGTAATTTGTAGTTTCATTTTCCTCCAACTGTAGCTTTATTTTGGAAGATGCTTTACGGAGAGAATCCTTCTTGAGCTGAGTTTCCTTGTGCCTCTTGGCTGGTAAATAGACATACACATTGCAAGAAAAACAGGCTCATTTTTTAGTAGGGAATCTGTTAGAGCTGCTCTGGTTCTTGAACATTGAGGCAACTGCTGGAAAGAATGCTGACAAAGCGCTAGGACTAAAAATCTTTGATACGCTGCACTTGTTTTCAGTTGTGTTAACTATTTGCATAGGATGGTTTTGCTGAGTTGCTGAAGTATTTATTCTGTTTACAGGTATGTAGACTTTGCATATATTCTTTTTACTTCTGCAGATTGGCTGTGGACAAAGCACAAAGTGTCATTTTGGGATTGCGGTAGTTTATTAGACTAACGAAAATAAAATTTTTAAATTGAATTATTGTTTTCTATCTGTATGTGAGAATATTGTCAGAAATACAGCAGGGTTCAAATGTGAACTTTCTGATACCAGCTCTTGTAGTAAGAGTAAACTTGCCATGTAACTCTTGTCTCTCCTTCGCATACACAGTTGCTGCTGACCACCCATCATGTCTTCCTTCTGTCCAGCGCTTCTTCAGGGGAAACCTGTAGTCCGCTGTAAAAACAAGGCCTTAAAACAACCTTCCTAGAGAATTCAGCAAAACATTATGCTTCAGCAACACATTTGGGCCTTCACAGGGCAGGGGGCTTCAGCCCCTCTGCTGGCAGGGTGCTTCTCTAGCGCTTACTAGTACGGTCAGGTTTTCTGAAAATTTGTTCAGTTTGGAATTAAATTGTGTTACAACAAAGTGTTTCTGTTGTGGCTGAGAAGGACTTGGGGGTAAGTGGGAAGGGGATTACTGGGATGGGAAGGAGGGAAGGAAATTAAATAAGTGTCCTTCCTCCTGAATTGCTGTAAGCTTGTGAACATACACTGAAGGTGATGGATATTAGGCAGCACAGCCTGCAGAGCACTTGAAAATATTACCTATAAAAAAAAAAATTCTTTATGCCTTCCTGCTGGGGTGATTTTAAGTGAAATACAGTGGAGAGATTTATTTACAGCTTGAGCTCTCTCTGTCTTCTCTCACATCCCCACTATCTCTTTAATGAAGCTTAGTATCATTTATCAGAAATAATTATACACAGATGGAGCTTTTCTGATGGATAATGGCCTCAGCGTGGAAGATTCTTTCCCGTAATGAAGAATGCCCAAACTTTAAATGTCTTTTTGATTTTAATTTGACGGTGTCCTTTTTCTGTAAAATATTTATTTATTTTGCAGCAAGTTCTATAAAGCATGCACTGCTCTCATTACAGCTGTCTTCCTCAGAAACTGATATTTTGCAGTGCCGTGTGATGATGTACAGCTATGTGCTGTTCTGAATAGAATTGTGGTAATTCACTAGAAATCAATGTATGGGGTCATTATGGTAATCCCTATCAAAGTGTGGAAAGATTGGAGTACTCGGGAAGGATTCTCATGGTGCATTCCACTCCCGTCTCCTCCCTTTCAAGCTTTTGAGAAGAGTATCACATCGAGGCATTTGCCATAGTACTTGAGTCCATAGGGTAAACAGATTGGACAGAATTGCAGCAAGTCATTTAGGCAATTAACAAATTCCATTCACGTTACAGCTACTGAAGAGAACCATAGAAAACTCATGTGGTAAGATTCATATTCTGTGTCAGAGAAAGGGGGGGTTGTACTTGTTTTTAAGTAGCCATTTCCTTTTTTAACACAGAATGAATGATATAGGAGAAAAGTTCCTTGAACTGGATTTTGCAGGAATTCAGTTTGACGATATGCAAGTATTTCTGCCTTTTTTTTGTTACTGTTTTGATTTTCTGAGAGTTGCATTTGCATTCCTGAGTGTCTTATATACACAACCAGGTTGTAGTGACTTTCCATCTCCTGCCACCCTCAGTTCTGAACAATCACCTACCCCAGTGGCTGCTTTGCTGATTAATGTCTCTCCCCCTAGTAGATGAAAGGTAGTTCCAGTCTTACAGTTATAGTCAACAAAAATGTGTTAAGGATTTATGTCCAGAGACAGTGACGCAAGCTTCAGGACCCTTTTTCCTCCTTCACATGTGTTTTGTTTTTATGAAGTATTAGTAATCACCAATTTAAAAAAAATGCTGTTGCAATTTTTGGGGGGGAATATTCTAAAGATATTTAGAATATTCTAAATATCCCCCCCCCCCAACTGCTTCTTGAGTTGCCTTTTTCTATCCAGAACTTTCAAGTCTCATCAGATGCAGTAAGTTTTTTTAAATAAACTTTTGCAGACAAGGAGTATATTGATATTGGTATAGCTTTACTAAGTCTACATTTGTATGGATTTTAATGATCTGTTTCTTAACAGATGGTTAAATCAGTCTAACTTTTGTTTTTCTGCTGCTTTATGTGCAGATAAGTTTCTCTGTTCAAGTTCTTGTATAGTTTTCATCTACTCTCATTTTTCCCTTCCATCTCCTCCCTTCATTTAGGAGGTCCTAGTGGTAGTTATTTCAGTGTCAGTCACCATACGAGCCGGTTGCTTGTCAGAGATTTCCTTTTCTTATTGGGTGGGCAGGGGTTTTGTTTATTTTTAACAGACAGGAAAAAAGGGATTTAACAATGGCCCTCACTTTTCTCTCTCCCTACCTCCAGCCACCAGCACTCTTTAAAAATTTAGCTTATTAAGGAAGGTTCTATGTATTTTGGTAAAGAAAAGGTCACACTGCACATGAAATAATTTTGCTTAGTTTCAGGCCTTCATTGCTTTCTTTGGGGCTGTCACGTTATTTTTCTGTCACTATATGAGTAGACCTAAAGCTGACGCTGTGCAGGTTTAAAACTGTGTTGTTATGTGACAGGAGAAATGTCAATGTGAACAACTCCGACTCTGGCAGCTGGATCAGATTTGATATTTCAGTAGTTCTTGGCTTCGGTTGACATGATTTTATTTTAATTAAGTGCTTAACTCTTCCTGGCCTCCTTGAATTAGCAAGAACCACAATTGAAAAAGGACAAAAGGAATATCTGATGTTTCTAGAACAGTTAGATGCTCTACATTTCTATGTTGAAGACTTCATAAGAAGATACACAAAGATCTGAGATATTGCTGTAAATGTCAAAAAATACACTGGAGATTTCAGCCCAGAAAGAAGGTGATGATCACTGACCACACCTTACGTCTGTGTGTGCTGAATTTTAGATGCCTAAATACGAATTTTCAGGACTGCATGTCTGTCAATTTTGGCTAGTTATTGTATACTCTCAGAATTTGAACTGTTGCACGTCAAGCTAAGTGGTTAAAATATCATTAGTTTATCTCAAACACTTAAATTTGCAAGACAAGCTTGAAGAACGCTGTAAAACGTTATTTTATTAAGCACTTGCATGTGCTGCAAGCACTGAGATACCCCCGATTATGAAGTTATTTTGGTGAAGTTACTTTATGTACAAAAGTGAACTACATCTGAGACAGAGATGCACCAGGCTTCTGTAAAAGATCTCTGGCAGAAAGATGAGAGATTGTTTTTTTCCACTGCACCTATTGGATGTTTATACTCTGAATTTCATGGCTTGTTGAAGCATGACTGTGTAAAAAGCCCCATAGGCTATAGTACTAGAAAAGTAACGATACTTTTTCTGTCTTTGGAATTAAAAAAAAAACACCTTATGTCAGTTTTTTTCAACATAACCTTATGAACAATGGATAACCAAGTGCATCCTTTCTTTTCTTTCTTTCTTTTTTGTTGAATGACCTTCTCTCTGACACTATGCAAGAGTCTTCTACCAATTTATGATGACTTCACAGTTTTTGCATTTTGCCTGTGTTTGTAAGCAGAGTCAGAGATGATAGCTTTTCTATGTATGCTCTGAAGATACTTCATATTTTGGATTATTATTGTGATATCCTTAATTGCATTTTGTGTCTTTTAAGTAAGGACAGTGTTTTTTAAAATGACAATTGCTCTTGGATGCTATCCATTGTATACTTTTCTAAATGCCCTGGTTTTGAAAATTCAGTTGCTCATTGAAGTAGGAGTCAGTTTTGGTACGTCCTGTCATTTTTTTTAATTCTGGCTGTGGGGAACTTTGTTTTCTGGCTCATCTCTGACTGAAAG